GTGTTGCATCAGAGGGTCTGTCTCTGAGATAGGGTGGCCCATATAGCTGTATGGTCAGCCACCAGGAAATTCCAAGAATATAACATTTTAAATCTTGGTTATTATATTATCCTGTTGGCATTTTAGAGACTATTAACTGCCCTGCCTTAAAAGTAAAATGACTGGGTTATGAGGTTAGTCCATAAACTGTAGTGCCCTGGATGTATTTTCCAGTCTGTAGCATCCAGTGAATAAATCCTCTGTATGATAGTCAGCGTAAAACATTTTGAAAGTAGATGTTTCCCTGCAGGCTCATTCTTCAGAAATAGCTTTTTAGTTGTCAGTAGCGACCAATAACTGAATTTAGCCACAATGAGCAGTCTACATAGCAGTCACGCACTTACTGTATACAGAGTTCCTCTACTCTGAACTGTGTTACGTTCACCTTCACGTTTGCACATGCAAATAGGCTATAATGATATCAGGATAACACTTCAAGTCAAATTCAGTGTAGGCCAGTCCTTTTCACCCAGATATTGGGTGAAAAGGACAAACCCCTAGCAAGACAAAATTACCAAACCATGGACTATTATGGAATGTATAATGACTTAATACTGTCCACAGTGATGTTGTTAATTTTTCATTTTTAAGTGCTGTGAGAATCTTCTGAGAATTTCTCTGGGAAACCTTGTTGGTATTATTCTACAGTTATAACCTACAAGTAGAGCATATTTTTTTCGGCTGATTCCAGTGATCTTTAGACTCACACCCACTGTCAGAAGTGATCCTTGGTTTGCTAAGAGGAATCTCGTCTACAGTCAAGGCTCTGGTAAACTATGTTCTACTGTTCTACTGTCATTGGTGATCCAGTCTGTAACCTAACTGAAGCAAACCTTTCAGCACTACAGTAGCTATAATATATAAAACATCTTGAGTTTTATCATTTATGATAACATTGTAGTCAGTTATTGCTAAAATCTCAGAACTTGAGATGAGAACTTGACAGATGGTCCATTGTTTAATCTGTAAATAGTTAAACTACTTACTGTGACTGCCTTTATGGTACATGTGCACCTGTTCCTTGCACATCTGTAAGCATCTATTCATTTAACCTTTATTTAACCAGGTAAAATCCACTGAGATTAAGATCTCATTTTCATTTCAAATAAAATAATACAAGATACTGAATGATACTGATACTGATACATTTATATAAAAACATGATAAACAGAAAATAAAATACAATCATGAACTAAATATTCAAATTAAAATATAAGTAGAAAATTGACATCATTCGGTTAAAATGATTATGTTTTAAAAGCATGTTCCTAAAGTGCTCCATGGGTACTATACTGTGGATTTTTACAGTGTGTTGTAAATTGTTCCAGGAACAGCCATACTGAAAGCGATATTTTCAAGTTCAGACTTACTGCTCAGAGACTGAAAATGAGGTGTACCACCATTGCTGTTACAATATGCTGCTATGTAGCCAGGGCAAGAACTTCACCAGTGCCCATGGCTGTCGTTGCCCCTGTGTCTGACCTTGATGCCCTCATAATATATGCCATTAACCTGCTAGGAACTGCAGATGAAAATTAGCCTGTATGGCTAAACCTGGCACATTTACATAGTTGACCTGTCTTCATGTTAATTAATGTACATTGTCTTTTTTTAAATAAATAAACTTCAAACCGTATGCCCAGCCACTGTGACCTTGGTGCCCTGCTCTCTTTTTTGGGTTATTTTTCTGTCCCCACCCTGCCTGACTTCTCCTGTCAAGTCTGACAACAGAATGCTAGTAACGTTACATGTATTTGATTGTAACAATAATGTAATTAACACATTTACACAATAAAAATACAAGCATGAACGTGATCTCCCATTTTGAACCCATACGTCCTATATAGCGTAGCTTGTCTTCTCAGGTTGTTGTTAGCCAGATGCTACCCTGCCTCTGTATATTGTGTGTATGTGTGTGTGTGTGTGGGTGTGGGTGTGAAGCAGAGTCCTGTGGTGAGTTTACAACTAATGGAACTAATAGAGCTAAGAGTTGAAAGCTAACAAAGTTAAACACTGGATCTACTCTGCTTAAATATCCAGTGTGTAGGACTTAGTGACAGCTAGTTGTGTAGTTGCAGGTTGCAACTCCCTCACTTCACCCTTCCTTTCCAAGCACAAAGGAAAATCTACATTGGCTTCGGAACGCTACTGCAGAAACATGGTGGTTCAACATTGCAGACTTGTGGTAGTGGAGATTCAGACCATGCAGATATGTGCAA